AAAAAAATACAACTTACCTTTTTTCAGTCAGACTAAGACACTGAACTGAGATGAAATGAAAAAATCCGTTGATGAGTCTGTTTTTTATAGTTGAATTCAACGTGTTGTGAACCGTCAATCATAAATTCAGCCATTTAACAAACACTAAAAAAAAWKATSGATTGTGATCCATATCAAGTAAAAAATTAAGGAAAACATTGTAGAAACTTAGCATAAATTGACATTTACACGATCACTGCACCCGTTTGATTTCCAGTTGACTTCTATTATCCTGAGTCTGCATGATTAAATTTTCTGCTAAGAACTCTTAAATTTCCTTTTATTTTTTGAATTACTATATGTAAATAATTTCCATTCTTTATTCGATTATGTTATCGTGTGAAACTGTGCATTTCTGTATAACATAACAATGAGGTCTAATGGAGAACGAGTCGATAGTACATTCGGCTRAATATTACGGTGTCATGGCTGAGCGATGTTTATTTCAAAACRACATCTTGACCGTTTTCTAGTTTAAGCTGRCATAGGGGTGAGAATGTATGCAYCATCTTTTACCCTCCCAAAAAACAGTGTTATTAGCATACAAAGAGCGTCAACCAAGTATGTTCGATCTTCGAMCACGATTTTAGGCGAAGGGGGRAGGAGGGGGAGCACKCGAATAAATGAATTCTACTCTTTTTCCAAGATTGAAGCTTTACGAAGATATTAGTGRACAATAATGACACTGAAATTCTAGTGAAAACAAGACAACGTCTGTTTGGATGTTTGCTTTCTTCATGCTAAATTGCGCCCAAAAGCCTTATGATACACTAGAGAATGGGTGGACATTTCGAACAGCTTCCAAAGGTAGCATAMATACAGTCACTACATACATTCATGCGTTTATTTCAACATATTTCCCTTACAACATTTTACTTTCCCTTAGATAAGACATCTATCTTGAATATGAATAGTCTACATGGCGACCCTCATTTTTTTTCTATCCCCTGTCCACAGGGGGCCGCTTCGCAGGCTAGAATAAGAGTACATCGTTACAACCAGCAAAGTTTTCAAAAACCCCTGCCGGTGTTGCAGAACCTTGATCAAGAAATCAAAAGTTGAACAAGTGAGAAAACATTGATATGTTAACATGATTATGTATTTGACAAATTTCACAGTATAGCAAAATTGTTCAAAGATGCATTCACTGAAAATGAATTTTCAATTAAAATAAACTCAAAAGAACTATTTCAAAGGTAAAGTGTCACTAGTTAATCAAATATATGTAGGCTTTATCAAAGCGTGTATTGTATGCTTAAGTGTCACATMAAGTAACAAGATTCAGTTATAAGTRCATTATCTAATACCAACCCTACTATATAACCCTATTATATGCTATTCGATATGTGGAGAGCTTTTACATTAGCTTTTCACTAGTTTCAGCCAATCAGGGCTAATGTCTTGGGATGCTTATCCCTGCAGCCAACTCTCCCGCGAACTTTGTCTCCATCACATTCCACAAAGAGATATTCATTCCTTTTTTTGTTCCACATGATCTTTAGGTTGTGACTGTGACCAGCTCGCTCGTCGGTGGTGATCGAAACCTTTTTCCTTTTCTTCAATTCGATCATCTATGGTATAAAAACATATAGCTTGTTTTGTTGTTTGTTTTTTATGTTCTAACACTATTTTCCCAGTCTATAGCCAAATGTATAGAAATGAGCTGCAAATTTACCTGTTCTGGGGTTAAAGTGAATAAATGTTSATGTGGTCCAGGAGGGTCTGCCTCTGCTTTCTGCACTTCGAATTCAACAGGCTTTTGTGGAGGCTCAGTGGGWAGTGGCCCACTATTTAATGGTTCTCGGAATATGTAGCCATTCTTCTTGGAGTCTAGTAGCACGTCTTTGGTGGCTTCCAGCTCTTTCCACACAGAACTTCCCTCGCCATGGACTGGWACGATAGGATACCGCTGACGCAGAGTACCAACTCCAGCAATTTCAGGAAGGGCGATACGCGTTCCAGAGGCCTTACACTTGCGCACATTTCCTAAAATTTGAATTGATACGACAACGTCACGTGTCTGTGTTAATTGCTCATGATATTGATACTATTAAAGACCCGCTTTATTGATGCACCTCATTGCGTGCAACTTGAAGTGTACGACTCATACTTACGACTTTGGGATTTTGGGTTTATGGTGCAAGAGCTTGTGTCTTGAGACACGGTAAGATTCTGACTTGTATGTCGAGTCATATTGTTTAAAGAATATGATTTAACGTTTTTGTATATTTATACTTCCACTAGGAGGATTTTTAAAGGTATTACCCAGCAGTTACCACCTACATTTGRACAAATGTTGATAACTGAAGCTAATAATTATAAAGCCACTCACWGCTGCTAGTATATAGAGCAAAATAAATCGTAATTGGATTTCAAGATTAATGAGTGAGAAGTCGGTCATAAAATATGGACAAAAATACCTTTTTTGTCAAGTACTCCAACTGCATTCCTCGTCGTGTCTGCTGCTCCCGACCCAACCTCGCTCCCTGAAAAGAACTCCACAGGTGTTCGGTAGTACTTTTTGCTRTGTGTACCATTATATGCYTTGTCTACGGTAAATCCACCATTGCGGCGCTTTCCATTCGGATCCTCGACCGTTTGCCCAAGGTCTGTTTTTGCGTTGCCTTTGTATTCTATATTGTAGGGATTCCATTTGCTCAATGGTGTCAAGTAGATGATCTCGAGAGGAATGGCGTACGACCACTTCTGATTGATGGTATTGCAAACCCTTCTTTTAGGTGGTCCTTTGCAGTTCGTCAAATCCATTCCAGCGACTTTCTGCTGGGTATTCATTGCCATAAAGAGTTGCTCGTCGGAGAAACCACGTTTRCGTGTTGAGATACCCATCGCKCCCTTACTTGCAACTCTGTAACTRCGATGGTAACGATCTGCTCTGAGCTTYACATCCTTATGATTAGGATCAACTGAGTATGCTGTTAAATCAAACGCTTCGTCTCTCAAATCACCTGCATAGTTATCCTTCCCAGGAATCTGTAAATTGAAACATAATTATATTGAGTTAGATTACCAGCCAACGAGAAAAAGTCAGRCAAGTATCACTATGCCTGTCTTAAGGTATCCTATTTATTTTCATAAAGTTTGTAGTAAAATTAATTGTTRTGAGGCACTTAGAAGTATCAGTGATATGTATACTTTATAGAGCGGATTTCGTATGAGTGGGAAACAGACGGTACTGTACTGTGACCGTAATCGTACTGTAACCAAATTCTAGTGTCYCATTGGTTCACCAAAATTGTGCAGGCCAGGTTCGGTAACTGTGAGGTAACCGTGCGGTAACAGTGTCCCACTCATACGAAATCCGCTCTATACAATACTTCATTGAAGTAGGTTTGATTTGAAGATGAGATAGATTCCAATGGAGAGGAACATCGGGTTCGGATAGGCATTTCTAAGTTTGAATTATTGCAGTGATTACAATTTGCTACTACTTAATGAACATTGACACAACATTTCTGTTATTTTGTGCACTGAGCAACTTACCTCGCTCATGAGTGAATCCAGAAGACTCCATTTAGCTGTGTTCCTGCCTTCATTCTTGAGATCAGCCCAGTTTTCATCGAAGGGATTGATCTGGAAACGCGCGCCACGTTTCTTACTGTGCTCTTCCAGCGTACGTTTTGATGTTAATAGAAGACCAAGCTCATCGATAACACGGAGRCGATTCAGAGGAAGATCTCGGCTAAGTGGATGACACATAATTCGGTAGTTCCACTGGGCAAACTCGGGGTATCCATCCTGAGTCACTTTCATGATTGTCGTAGGAAGGAATGAGTAGTTCTCCAAGTTGTCCTTGCGACCAGTGTACGAGGTGAAGCGGATTTTCTCTTGYAAGTCAAACCAGCTGCTAGCGTCAACAAAGTGTCTGTCACTCTCGAAAGGCTCATCTACTTTGCCTTTTGTTGAGTTTGTCCACGCCCCTTCAAGATARCAGAGAATGGGTTTAAARTACTTCCTRTAATCTCTTGTTTTGTGATCTTGATCTTTCCAGGCCTTAAACCAAGCTCTCATTTCGTCTATCTGMGCAGAAATGTTGTCTCCTTTGCTCAAKACTTCWGGTGGGACGTCTGGAAAAGGTATGTCTTCTGTAGCGTGCCATTCTTTTGAGGTGCTGTGTGGCTTGTAGAGGCGATAATCATTGTGTCTGGTTCGGAATTCAACACCATTAAGAACCGCAATGATCTCCCCCATTCCTACAGTACGGATGTTGTTGGAATGGTCGTGGATGGCGTTGACGGATCCACCTGAATGTGTGTCAGTATTGTAGTTACGGGTTCCGTGAGCATTCACGCGTTTTTGTTTGACTCCTGAATGGCCTTCGGATCGAATTCGCTCTTCGACAAAGAGTTGTTGCAATAGAACTTGTCTACCCATGGCACCTATGACTTTCTTCATAGCCTCGACTGTCTGACGCAAGTTATCGCTTTCGTCGACATCGTTCTCAGTGTCGTCAAAGTCATCAATCGCTTCGATCTTACGTGATTGGACGATGCTTATCAGTTGGATCATCATCATCATCATCATCATCATCATCATCGCACCAGCTTTGGACCACATTTTCATTGATCGCCCTGTTTTACAAAAAGCAAATCTATTACACTTAAGATATATCATATGCATCAGAGCCATGCTATTACTTATAAAAAGACCTCCCGATCCGCCGATGGTGTCAGAAGGTCTGTCTCTTTTAAATTGGTAGTAGTCACAGCTAATAGTCTACTCGTGTTTGTAAGTACGAGTAAGTACGCTATGACTTTGTAAGTGAAACATGCACAAAATGTCATTATAGACCTTTATATCTATAAGTCGATTCAAAGATACATCGTAGATAAACAAGCATATATTTTGATACGTGGATAAAATTTAAATGGAAGCCGGGATTATCGCAATATGCTATCGCATAAAAAAACCTWTTTTCTACTCAGMAACTGTCACCCAGGATTTACAGTTTTATGGATTTGCTGCCCTTGTCAGTTTGTCATTAGACCAACAAATAACGATAACCTTTTTTTAAAGTRAGAGAAATGATCAGTGTTTACAGTTTATAGAATACCATAATTCAGTTTCCTGGGTTACAACATCCATTTCGATATTTGTTAATAATATTTTTATCAAGATATCGATCTATATTTATTCCCTGCAGAGCTTTTAAGAGAAAGCACAATGGCAACGCGTTGGTTGGTCCATCAGGACTATGCATTCGTGTCCCACAGCAATCTCAGGTTCTTACAGGAGGTCTRTCTCTACCTGAACTATGAATGTGTGTTTTATAGGCTTATTTATAGAATATTCAAATATACTTTAGTTGTGGTGACAGTCAAAACTCTGCGGCAACACTCAGGTTTTTGTTTTTTATCAAGATAAGCTAGACTTAGTACCGACATCAGTCAAACAAGCTTAAGACTCAATCAAAAAGTTCCAAGATCAAACGGGCCGTATCTCAGGCCGGGTCATGGCCCTGTTGTACCGCAGATTATCCCAACCCAATTAAACTTAAACTTAAACTTAAAAAAAGAGTCAAGAGGTTGAACCGGAATGTTCCGCCCCAATTATATTTTTTGAAATTAAGATCAAGGAATTTAAGTAAATGACAGAAATTTAAGCAGCTGAAATGATCTAMCATATATCTCTTTTGAATACTTTTTAGCAAAACTTTTTATAATTTCTAGAGTTAAAGCTCACCAAGCTCGCATCACTTATGAACTTAATTGAGGTTTTTATCCTTGTAAAATTGTATTGCAATACGTTTTGGAGGTTCAAATGATGAATTTCTCATTTTTAAGAAAACGAGATAAATAGAATTGAGGCAATATGTAGAATTTCAAGAAACTATACTACCGCAGAACATACCTACCTGGTTGTTTCTGAACCAAATATCTTCGTCCTCGTTCACCTACTTCGGATGACGTTCGTCTGCGATGTAGTTGACGAGGTGATGAAAGACTATTACTTATAGAAGTGGAAATAATAACTTTCAAAAGCAATTGTCACTTATCTTTTTCCAGATTTACATATAAATGGAAACATTTTCACTCTGTATCGCTTTTCTGTTATCAAAGCTGATAACACTATAAAAGCAAAATAAATAGATGGATCACATGCCTTGCGAGATTTTTTGAAACCCTGAGAGTCGGGGGAAGGGATACAAGAAATCAAAGCACTTGAAAACGAAAGTGCATGAAAAACGTATTGAGAGTTTTATATCAAAAATTAAATGATAATAAATTAAAATATCTTACAGCAGAAATTCCAACCATGCAGTTTTTCATGAATCATAGATTTTGTCCGAAATTGTCACTTCTATGGGCATATTTCCTGATCTCGTCAAAATAAGSATCCAGCAAATGAAACAGGGGAGGATCSAGTCATTTTTCAGGGGAAGTGCCACMACRGGCTTCCSAATCGYCCSCKSGAGAGGAGCTTTGGACATCGGGGAGWGACGCACAAGAATAACATTTTAAACAACACTAACAACACGCGAAGCATTTGTCCACGCGTAGATAAATGYTGAATAGGATTCAGAATGTTGTAGTTTTTAATAAGGGTATCATGTCTCTATGGRTCCGGTACTTCGAAGATGGCCATGTTTGAACTTGGTGACACTTGGTGACACATTATGCCAACAGAGCAACGCATGMTGGTACACTAATTTATGTACATATGAAACCAATCTCAAGCAATCTCTTTCAGGACGTTTTTATCTCGCAAATCGAGCAATTCAACCTTTTATTGACTTAGAAAGCTGCAGGAGTTTTTASCTTTAAGATTAAGATTMRATGTTTSTTTTTTAAGTTTATCTTTTAATAAAAAAAGATAATCCGGTTCCTTTACGGACGGTTTGGGCATCCGTGCCGAAATGGGAGACTGAGATTTTAATTTTKCATCCTTAAAAATTTGAAAATCGCATACACAACAKACAGTTTAACATATTCTTTAATTGCAAAGTTTGTAACTRAACATCATCAAGCGTGTTTATCGATATTGAACATGGACCATCTCCAACGATGATAAATCAATTGAGAGYCGATATTTTTTGGCAAATATGGTTTGCATAAAATCAGCCAATTTGAAAACGCACCAAATATGGACACTTCTGGGCAAAGCCTGAATTTACYKAGAACAGGCTTGCAACCGATTTAAGGTAGCAGAAAATAACAATATATCTTAATCTATAACAATAACTTAGATTGTAGTTTCCATATTCTTCGTTTTCACTATACGTCCTTCAACAAAGGATTTTTCGTTATTAGTATATATTATTTAATTCCTCCAACATAAACGCCGGTCTTTTATCTTTTGAATCTCATGGGAATGGTTGAAAACGATCAATTATTGTGATGTAGATAATATATTGATATATTGATAATACACAGTCRGTGGAATATGGGAATAGGATATGGTCTAGTACAATAAAAGGAGCGCCGTATGTCTKAGAATCAATAGAAAAGAAAGAATTCTGCGGAACTCCTTAATGGATTAAATATATATTTAGTGTTATATACTTAATGTTCTTCATGAATCCTTTCTTCATTTCCCTGCTGGAGTTATCATATTTACAACTTATTGTAAAAAAAGCAATACAAATACAAGTCCATCTAGTAAATTRCTTGGTATTTTGGTACAATTTCCTTTCTATTTTTACATTACGTTCATAATAATTTTGGAACGACGAATCGGACTGCTAGCCGTCGGCGCTGCGTCATCGCGCTGCATGCGGATGGATACCATTTCCTCTTGACGTTCTTCCTTCTAAAACTCGTGAATTTCCGCTGGATTCATCGTTTGTTCGTATAAAAGATTATTTTTRGCGACATTAGACGAGGCCGTGAAGGCTTTTGAGGTACTAACCAAATCGCAACCAGGCCCSGAAGGGTTAATTTCGCATTCAATGTATCTATCGATCTGATCGGCAACAAAGCTCAACGGCCCTACACCACGTGATAAGATAAAATAATGAAAATCTCTTATCTTGAATTTGTTACCAAGCTTTAGAATAGCTTTTTTACGCATGTCCATGATTGCACGCTGACCGATCATATACGCGGTCGCCTGTCCGGGACCACTCTGATACCTAGTMACCTCCTTTTGCGCAACGTCACTGTCGTCCCACGCGTATTTATCGAGTAGCTGAAGAGCTTCTTTGCGAGTCATTCCTTTATAGTGAAGRCCGGTATCTATAATCAGTCGCAGAGCTCGCCATATTTGCCACTTTAACATGCCGTACTTTTGCATAGGAAAATCTTTGTACGTATCTGAAACGCAATAATGTTTTGTAAGCATAAATTGTAGCGGTGCTCACATGATTCTCAGCCGTTTACATTGTCTGAGGTTTAGCAGGCTTTTCAGTATGGAATCATAATTTTTTRACAAGTCTTATTTCAAGTGAGTAAGCCATCGGCTTTTCAATTGTTGCAGTCAACTTTCAGKTTTCATAACTTCGCGCGAAGATATACGGATTTTATCTTCGAGTGCTGGAAAGATCTCTCAAGAGTGAGCGTAGAGAAAGAGTGAGAGATTTTCAACACGAGAAGATAAAATTCGTATCACCAAGCGACCATGTAATATTCTGTTTATCATATAATTACACATGAAAGCAAATTATGTTGTRAAATACCTTTTTTTCTAAYTTCCACTATATTGAGAAACCTCGAATGTGTTATTTTCACTAGTGAAAATATCAATTTTATGAAAAGGAGAAATATTGGTATTTCATAAGTAATTATATGATAAAACATATTTTCTTTAACTGAGAAAACTGGCTAACCTGTTTACAATTGTAAATGTATTCGGGTTAATTAGGATAAACTTACAAAGAAACGTATTGGTAAAACTTGGATATATGGGGAGATTCTATGTATAATCACTTGATCAATGACTGGTGAGCTATAGACGTTAATGCGTGCTATATGACAAGACTAGTATTTTACCTGTGTCTTGAGCGATCAGTGGGTTTTCAGCGTAAACTCCCCATCCCTCTGTAAATGCATTGGTGGAGTATTTTGATCGAAGCAGTGCTCCTAACAGTGGAAGACATTGTTCTCTGAAATCATAAAACATTGAACTTGACAATTAAGCTGAGATGTTTAAAATCCAGGCCCTCTATTAAAACATCAACAAGGTAAAGAAAACAATCTTGCGTTTATTTTTGGAGAGTTGTATGCTGGTACTTACTGGAAATTCTCAATGTATCCTTGTGATTGTAAATGGTGTCCAGGCAGAGCTTCATGAGCGCTGACCGTCCATTCAGAGTACTTTGGCCCCATTCTGTCCAGGAAGAATGGTAGGTAATACTTTGCAGGTCTGGAACATTTTGGCCCATAGCCTGATTCGTAGCTCGGTGACCCCGCGCTTGGCACAAAATTAGTTGCCATGGAAACAGGACAAATTGGTGTGGTTTTCTTGGGTCCAGTCATCCAGTGGAACATCCGAATAAGCTTTGGTCGAAACATACTTAACGCACTTTGTGAGTATGAGAACCACTTCTCCAAAGTTGCATAACGAACTGGACAATAGACTTTGGCCGCTGTGTCAAAGAAAATATGAAAACAGAATGAAATTTGGAAATTTAATTGCTCGGAAGTCATATTATAAAAATTATCTATTACTGTTTGCGACTTGTCGAACTTAGTATTTACATTTTAATTTCCTACAAATGATATGCGCCCTTTCATCAGACTCATTTGCAGGGAAAGGTACGGTGTTAAAATACATCTCTGAAGAATTGACGTATTTCCTCATAGCGGCAACTGCCTTCGTTTCATTGGCCTGATTTGTTGTTGACTTGGCAATATCAATCATTTGTGGATAAAGTGATTTTAAGATGTCCCAACCAAGTTTGTGCACGTCGTCTACAAAAAAAAAGAGATCATTAAAACGGCGTTTTTATACAACCCGAAATTGTCGAAGTATTAGTCAAAAAATAATTTTTCGAAGTTTATTGGCTATTTCGTTCCAAACTTGTGGACAGGTTTGTAGAGCAAGTTTGATTACTTTCGCAAAGTTTAAGCTAAAACTATGCAGGMAGTACAGAGTTAGGGGGTGGCTGTCTTTATGGTATATCTAGCAAACCGCACAAAAGTGAAAGTTTAGGGGGTGGTCGTCTTCATGTTTATGCATAGCAAAAGGACTTAAGGTAGTTGAGCATAGTTAATGTTGTGTGCAGATCACATCTATGAAGTTTGACTTTGCTGGCGAAGGCTGGTCACGTGACTAACCCTAGGTGAAAACCCTAGCCACAAGCTCCAATGTAACCCTAGGACAAGTCTAACCCTAAGTCAAATCWCAAMCCTAACCCTAMGACAACAGTCCTAACCCTAATCATATGTTAGCCCCAACCGAAATTGTAACAAATCGTGCGAAAAAACACTGATCACGTGACCCTCATTTTTGGAATTAAGAGCTGSCCGTGGTTATTTGCTTTACAGTGAATAGTGGAAAATTAAGAATATTGGATCAAGGACGGCAGGAGTTTTTTTGCAGAGTTTTGCAGAGTTTTGCTTGTAGGAATTTGGAGTACGTTCTTTAATATCCTTTTTACAGGACCCATCGAACTAACAAGAGTCCAATGCTTGCATGTTATCTCCCCGTTACAAACCTTCCCTACTCAAAACTGTCTAGGAATGGTAAAGACGTTAGATGGGCGCCTGATGTTTAGTTTATGGTCATGTTGTTGTGTTAACTACATACATACCAGGTGTTGACTCAGTTGTCGTAAAAAACTTCAATATTCGTTCATATGCCTTTTTTCCACTCACTTTCTCACCCGTCGGTAGAATCTTGGTGGTCTTTCTTGTAAGGTCCGGCACGCCGTCTCGATAAACATAGGAAACAGGTCTTGTTGCTAAACCGCTCGATACATTGCTTGGTACACAGTGTCTTCTGTGTTCATTTGATAGATAATTAAACAGCTCAGCAAGTGGCTGGCCCAGGTTGTTCACTAATGCGTCTCTAAGAGATTGTCGCAATGTCTTCCCGTACTTACGCAGCCACAGTGTTGAAGTTTTGTTGAGGCGAGAAAACCTTTCTTTTTTTACTAGCATTTTGAAATAATRTTCTCTTAGTATGCTCTCAGGCATGTGAGTTGAAGAGATGTAAGGGTAACTATCAGCTATACAGTCATAGCCAACTTTGCATTCTTCCAAGGAATTCACCATCCCAACTTTGACCCCCATTTGCATGTTTTGACGATATTGGTTGATGGTTTTCTTAAAGCTTTTGAGAATTTTCATAACGCGCYCAAAGTCCTTGACCGTTCTAGGTGATGCACGACCAAGATACGCGTTAAAGGTGTACCGAAGTGTGAAGAACTTTTGCATATRGCAGAACCTGCTTGGTCCGAGCATCCATTCTCCTGGTGAAATAACAAGATGCAATTAAAATTTATCAAATTCAAACCAGTTTGGTTCCGCGGCCATTGCTCCGCCCCAATCCTTTCGGAGGAGACTYGGGCTACCATGACCGCAGTGATTGAAGTCATAGGAAGGACCGGCATTATTCATTGCAGCAGACTATCATTTAGCCTTACTTTTAGTCAGAAAATTATTAAAATGGCACCAGAAACTCCTGTGTAGAGTGCACATTCAGGTCAGTTCTAATTGTATTTACAGAGAGCCCGGCAATCAAACCAGTTGTACTGTGATAGCAAGAATATGGTGGGTTACCTGTGTAATATCCGTTGTCATAAGGGTTTCCAAAGTTATGTTCAAGAAAATGAATTGTCTTGGATAGCGTCTTGGCTTCTCTTGGTTTTAACAACTCTCTTTTGTATTTCATTGCACGGAGTTCTTTCAGCAGGTTAGACGAAGTATCAGCAAGGATTTTTAAGGTTGATGGCTTTGGGTCATATGGCTGGAAGTTTTCTATTACGTATGATCTTGTTGCTGGATATCTGTACACAATTTCATGAGGATTGAGCCTGAAAAAAGTGTCGTCCACTTTTTTGAAAAATTTCAGAAGGCCTGAAAAAAAATTATAATAATAACAACGTTGAATGATTTGTAATCTTCAATGTTAGGCAAGAAATAGTTTGTCAATCCTCAATGAGAGAATATCCTGCGAGCATAGCCTTCCACCCAAASCTTTGGCTTAATTGAAGGAACATTTACATCGGTCAGCAGTCACACCCCTGAGCGATTATGGCCCAAAAGGATTGTGGTTAATCATGTTGATCTAAGTAACGGTGCTCCTTTTGTCTTCTGAACGAGATTCACTATGAATCATACCAAGATGAATGTTCGATCCAAGAGATTGTATTCTTATAGGTCTACGTTGTTTGTGGTCACGGTGGGGTTGTAACTATCAACGTACCGAGAGACTATTAATCGGTGTTTTCACCCTGGGGAGTGTGTGTGTGTGTGTGGGGGGGGGGGGGGAATCCCTTGGAAAATCATTGTTTTCAATTTCTTGATTATGACTCATTCTGTGCCTAGAGGTGTTCTTAGTGTTTTGTCAGTTGATTGCTTCAGTTGATTGCTTCAAATACTTTTTTGTTTATGTAACTAAGCTAAGCCATTACCGCTCAAGCTCTTTAATTATATATGGCGCGCGTCGAAGTATCTGCTTTGAATGCCTCGGGAAAAGGACGACGAGTTCCTAACCCTTAAAAAAAATCAAAACCCAACAAAATAAACTACGATTAATGATCATATATTTACTGCAATCACGCGCGTACTATGCGTATAAACACTTTCTTTTCATGAGTACGTACTGAAATGATGACACCGCAGTTACGTGAATATTTCATTCGCTGCAGTTGTGCAAAGAATTGGACGATTTAGGACCAATGTTTCAAGAATTATAAAGGGGGAAATGATACGTTGGAGCATTAAATAAGAAAAAGGATTGGGAATGTAGTTTAGTTTTACCCGATTGCTTGATCGATCTAGCTGCTGGGTGATCAAAGAATATCGGCAAACATCGGTCATGATTGTTATGGAAATCCTTCGATGTTAAGATAAAGTGAAAAGGAGATGGCAATTCTAGTCTGCAATCTTTCCGGCTAAGGAAAAGTACTCTGTAATCAGTATTCAACATTGATGATGGAAGCTAATGGTGATGATGACGATGATTTAAAACTAGGCGTATATCATATATTCAGATAATAAAGATTAATGGAACTGAAAAGAAATGTTTTGTTGCTTGCGTGAGTCCAAGCAGAAAAGGGTTCAGCACGAGAAATGGATCTCGAGAGTAAGATAATTGGTTTTCTATTAAATTACAAGAGTCTTTGGACAAGACCTCTAAATCCTAAAGTGTTTTTTATTCTTTGGATCGTTTATAAGGACCAAAATGATCAAAAGAAAGAGCATTGGAAGATTTGACGGAAGACCTAAGCCATCAAAATACTAAAAAGACAAAAAATTAATAATGATAAAATTGGAACACACTCGAGAAACCAGAGGCTACGTGTATAAACACTTGAATAAGCAGAAAAATCGCGATCGAAATGAAAAAAATGGAACGACAAAAAAATTGGAATAAAATGCAACAAAAAAATGAAAATCTAACGGAAAATGAGATATAGAACARTTAAAGTATGATAAAAGAAAAAGGGACAGGCAGGAAAGCTATAAAGTTATATTAAGAAGTAAATAAGCACTGACGAATACAATCACAGATAAAGAAAGTTTGAAATAGATATATAGATTACGAAGTAAAGAAAAAATTAAACGACAACAAAATGATGCTTTAACTGTAAGTTGGTCCTTTTTTTCCTTTCCGGTCATCAATAATCTAATCAGTGCAAGCATTAATGTCATTTTATCAGTATTTCTATCTGAGCTATTCGACGCCAAATAGGCAATAATTCCCAAATAACTAAAGAGTTCCATATCAAAMGTATTGCACTTGGCATTTTACATTTTACGACCGCAAAGTTTTAAAGCTCGCTGGGGTTTGTGGGGCTTTACTGCGACTTTATGTCAATCAATTAACTTTATTTTGCCGATTGAAACATTTAAAAATCCCAGCACTGCCATAATAGTACTGAATATAAATGTATCTGAATTCAAAAAAAAAATCCAAAATTCAGGCCAGCGAACTTCACAACTGAAATCTCGGATACAAACGGTTATCGCTGTAATGTGAAATCGTGTGTCAGTGTAGGCATAGTCTCGTAACTGGCCGTTTAGCATCAGTACCATTTTGCAATTTTTATTACCGTTTTTGTGGAAAACATGCTTATCTTTAGACACGAGAGATTGGATTGAATGAGAGTTGTCAGTTTATTGTGACGCATTCGTTTCGACTTCAAATGAGATTTCTAAAGAGCAAAGTAAAAACTACTCAAATCTGTTTCTTAGTTGGTTGTAAAGAGCATGTTTTATCTACTTGAGATTTGCTATAGGTTTTCCAATCCTAGGCTTATAATCAATTGTTATCTTCTTCTGAGGGAAAAAAAGAGATTAATGGAGTCATTTCTTGAAAAATGAAAAATAGAGAAAATCTGTTGAGGAAATGTTATTTTAGGAAGAAAATGACCTAAAAAAACTGGAAGAGTAATGAGAAGAAAGGAAATAATAAAGAAATGACGAGGAAATGAGTCAAGGTAAGGGGAAGTAGAGAGAGTAGCGAAAAAAATTGAAATGTATAGCGCTATTTATGATATTCCTTATCGCTTTGATCAATAAGAATTATAGTTGTATTGCTTGATTGCAAACTGGGTTTATCGGACTCTGTGTGAAAGCCAAGATTGARATGATCTATGTAGTTAAAGAGAAAAGATAGAAGTGAAGATTTCAAACATCGATCAAGTTACGTCATAAACTCAATGACGTCATGGCTTATAAAGTAAAATCGTTTTTCTTCATATTTAGCTGCATTTATAACCATTAATAACTGTTAATAAATATAAATATCCGTCTTACCTGATTCCTGGACTTCTTTGGATAGTTTACAAGGGTCATCTGAAACCTTTTTGCCACTGGAAATAGGATCGGTGCTACCGTTTGTAGACCCACTATCCAATTTTAACCTTTTCGCTCTCTCGAAAAACACAACCCCCACAATGCAGCACGTTATCCCCCCAACAGCCAGCAACAAGCACAGAAAAACTGTCTTCTTACTAGCAGTAGCTTGGTATTTGAACCTTGACTTTTTAGAGCCATAAATGATGCCATTGTTTACTTTAGGATGGATTGGTGCAGTGCTATGGAGGGAGTCAAACTCTTGTTCAGAAGGTGAGTTTGCCATGGTGGCCAGTGGAGCGTCTAGAGGGTATATAACAGCTTGTGCATGTTAATTTTAGCGATGCGTTTCTCAGCCTACGCTTGGACAGTTGTTTACGATCACCACGCTAGTAATTACTGTAAAAGACGGAAGCAAAGTGTCAGAAACCGCTCCATCTGATTGCTCGTGGATTAGATCTTCTAAGTTCAATTTACGAGTATATTCTTATCCCCAGGCTCTTCACCTGAAACTAGAGGGAGCCATRAACTTTTTTACGAGARCACGTTCTTCTATTGTCAATAGTTTTTAGGGGTTTGATTGATCTATACAGAATGATATTTTTTTCAGATGCTTTTCTTAGATTTCTAAAAGTAGTTTTATTACTTAATTGCTGTTTATATGAGTGTATTGTTTATTTTCTACAAAGCAATTTGTCCGACCTTTTTTTATTTGATTTTATTTATTTATTTTCTTGAGTGGTACGTTCGGTATTGTGAAAGCGCCAGTAGCCATAAGTCGGGTACTTTGATAGCACCACCGAGTCTATGTACAGGTATTTCGGTGTATATATAGAACCGGCTTATGATAATAAAATAGTGGACGAACACTTAATGGACGAATGGGATGAAAGATCAAAATGAGACGAGTACGAAACGATCATTAATTCCAAAATAGATCGTAGAATTGAAGCAAAGCCACTTGGTGTAAGTCTAGTAAGTCTTCACAAATCCTAAGCTCTTAATTTCCCCTTTTTTTTCCATTTATGCATGCAAATATGATCTATGAATATTAAAGWACAGATTGGGAAAATTGTAATGTTGTCAACTTTTCTGAAAAATCAAAGTTTTCTTTAATGATTCTTGGCAATAAAACTAGTTCTTTTTCTCATGTTGTATAATTACTTACCCAGAGAATTGTTGAAAAATCAAAGTTTGCTTTAATAATTCTTGGCAATAAAACTAGTGCTTTTTCTCATATTGTATAATTGCTTACCCAGAGAATCGTTGAGAATCTCTTGTCAATAATAAGGGAAATGAAACATTGGAAACTTTGCACCATATTCTTATATTTATTTTCATTTCTAATTCAATTTATGTTTTTTTTTTTTCTATTTCTTATACATTTTTCCCATAAACATGTTTGATAATTGATTTTGTATCCTTCCCGTCTTCAATTAAACCATTTAACACTGAAAACCGACCAGCTTCCCACAAAATGCCCCCGGAAAGAAATAAAAACTTAATTGAGTAATTTGGACAAATATTTGTAAGAATAATAAAAAACGAATAAAAAAACAACAACCTTTTGGAGCTTTATCAGTAGCCAAATGTCAAAATCAGTCTGAAATCCGACAGATCAAAGATATAGCATTGAGGAAGATCGTTGAAATTAAATAGTTCCGTTCGGCGCCATCGGTAATTGAAACAAAAGAAAGCGTAAATATTCTTTGTGGAGTAATAATAATGATAATTATACCGAATGATAACAACAAAAACGAAAACATAAACATGTGCGATAAAAAGAACAATTATGATGCGATGATGATGATGATGATGATGATGATGATGATATTTTTTTAGATAAATGGCGTCTTCCCAAACAACACAGTAGATGAAATACAATTCATATTAATAATATCAATGAATATTAAATTAATAGTATTGTATTATCATCACTATCATTATCAGTATTATTGTCATCGCGTAATTACATATTTTAAGCCAGAGTTTTACTTGTTTGCTTATCAACAAAAAGGTTTTCTTCCCAAGAAAATTCGTTGAATGGTCTAGTTATTCAATGATTCAATGCTTTGTTAAAGACCCCACCCTCCCAAGATAGAATGCATAGACTATTCTTCCCACAACGTTCACATTTATATACAGCTATTTCAAAAAACRTTGTCGGGGATAACAGCGAACGGCGATTGTCGAAGGGAGAATGCACGACCGAAAGGGATTATGGTTACACTGTTTTGATAAAAAAATTTCACTTATTGGATTCATCTTACATAGAAATGGAGACTAAATGGAGTCAATATTTACCATAGACTATCTTACAGTACAAATCAGTTGTTATTGCCTTTCAACTAGAAAAACCCATGGCTACTTTCGGTCGTGCAATCGCCGTTTGACAATTGACATTCGTTTTATCCGACAACCATTTTTGAAATAATTATATATGTACTGTTAGGGGGGGATATTGTAAGTTTGCTGTTTGCCGGTGTCTGATGAATTTAGAGGTCAATTTTCGGTCAGTATTCTCCCTTTTTTGGAGGTTGTAAACATATCGCCTGGCTGCGGAAAATCGCCGATGTTTAAGGCTCCGTGGAAACGTTAAGAAAAAATTTTTAACACTAACAGATTGAGTGAAAAAAAAGTAAAAATCAGCGTTTTGCGGTACGACAACCCCCTATATATAACAGCAGCCCCTGTTATGCAAGAGTTAAAAATAATGAACTCATTGAGGTATAACGTAAATACTAAACCCCGTTAGTAATTGAAGCTAAAACGACAATCGTTCAAACAATCACATTTTAAAAAACTAGTTTTGACGTCGAATTAAGCGAATGTGGAAATAGATCTAGAGAATTGTAAAAATGTWTACCGTGCCTTTGTGGTTGATTATTGATCACTCCAGAATGCAATTATTTTAAAACTTGCTAACGTTATCTCAATGTTGTGCRCACACGCAAAGAGTTAATTATTTTGAATAAAAGGAAWATAGTTTTGTTTAAAAGCAGTTTTATCTCACAGGTCGCGTGCTAAGTGGTAGCTATTATCCAAGTATAACCTAGTATATATACCATTATCGCAGTTGTTTGACTCTTAGACCTCTCTGAGTATTTCCCATGACAATATCAATCACTAGAGTTTGTCCTTTTAGATTTGTTACACACTAAAACTACATTAGTTTAGCAGGTAGTTTACTATTTTAGAGCTTATTTCACGTAATTATAGCTTGTTTTTTCAATTATCTTGCAATCCCTTTTAATCGATCAAAATTACGTCAGTTCATTTTATGGAAAAAGTTCTGGATGCTTGACGTTGATTTGAATGACGATATCGTTTGTACTTAATATTTAAATGTATTAGTGGAAAATGTTCTAAAATATAATATATCTATTACTCAAAAACATCGAATCTTTGAATTTTCGTACCTGAAAATGTCCTCGCCACCAGTCTTTGCTAAACAAGCAAAGATGACTCGATTCGACGCTCAATATCCGTGTGAACAATTCATCAACATTGTTATGGATATCTTATTTGTCTTCATAATTACTTTAATTATTAGTGTTTCGATTCCGAAACGGAATCCGGAGCATTCCTGGATTCCGGATTCCAGGCTCCTGGATAGGAATTCCATTAATAAAATTCCACAGGGATTCTGGGTTCCACCAGATGGGAGTCGGAATGCAAAGCATTCTAGCTTTTTTCGTCGTTAGTCACTCGTTTACAATTAAGAAATATTTGAAGTCACTGATTTGGACGGATTCTTCTTTTTTTTTTAAGCCGGATTTCGTTTCCATTGCCGTCGCGGATCCCGGAATCCAAGTATCTGGATTCCCGACTCCAGAGTGGAAATTTCGTCGGTTTCCAGTTTCAAACTGTCTAGAATTCAGAGTAAAAATTTCGTCGGATTCCGGGTTCTGTGTCATGGTGCCGAAGTGCTGGTCGAAAGTTGTAAACAACATTGATTCGTTTACATGTAACAGCGTTAAGGACATAATATATAGAAAATCGTTAATCTTTGAACTCGCCTTATAACTGTATAATATATTATCCATACCACTRGAATATACTATCAAAATATTCTACAGGGCTGAATGGACATGCAAACTTTGGCTTTGGCACGTTATATGCATGCTCTTTATATGTTAGGCCCTATGATTCCCATCCCACATGGCTGAAAAGAAACAAAAACGCCACACTTATCTAAAACCATTGTTGTTTCCCGTGTCACATCCGACTCATCTACTTCAAGAAATTTGTTATATCAGCCGAGCAAACGCGGGCGCTGATTGGCTGGAAGAATCGTAAGCAGCCGAAGGCGGCACCAAAATGTTGCGCGAAAAAAAGTTCAATGTGCGCATGGAAAACGAAACACTTAACCAGACAATTTTTGGGTATATGGATTGCGCAAAAAGTTTAGTCTCATTTTGTTGGGAGTCAATTTGGATGAATCGGGTATAAACTAAGTAAACTAAAAGAAAACAACAGCAATGATGTTTCGCAACAAACGAATGTTTGTGTCAGTTTCTCATTTTAGTGCATATTATTTTCTCATSTGAACGAAACTAACTCTTAAGTCAAGTGTGAACTTTACTTATTAAATCCCCGGCCTGATATTTGATTCAAATAATACATCCGTTTTGTCTTTATATGTTCTCGAGATTTTTGAGAGTTTTAGTAATAGTAAAGTGGAAGCCCGTTCTGAATACCCTATCAATGTAATGCCAATGTTACTATGGTGCACAAACTTTCCGCCATGGCATATACCCATGTATTCCAAAGATATTCAATAGAGGATCTTTGTTTTGTTAGTTATCGAGAGCCGCAAAACATCAAATCTTGTGCAGGTGAATCAGTAAACACTTTTAGTGAAGAATAGATATCAGTGTCGATGCTGTCCGCCGGCAATTGCAAAAATACCCACGAAATATGATAGATTACATGGTGTCGATCATGTGAGATAGACGGAAATCCCCTTTTGGGAATCTACTTTGATAGAAGGAGATAGTAAAAGACTTGTCAAGGTTACGGGCATTTTTTTATAACTATATCCAATGAGTGTTTCACACAGTTATCGTAATTTTGCGTAAAACAATATTTGTCAATGTAAAACTGATCCAGTATTTGTCATATGATGAAAATAACCGCACGCAACCATGAATTTTAGTTTCATCTGCCGCCGCAGTCATAGCAGCGAATTAGCCTTTGAGACTGTGCTAATATATCGATTTGCCAAATGCTTTTAACCTAATTTAGGTATTCATGGAAACCAACATAGTTAATTGTTTCATGCCSTGACTGCAGATATATTGTTTTGTCATTTTTCTTTTATTAATAAACTCAAGGCAGTTTAAAAAGCGCATCGACCGTTGGAAGAAAAACAGAGCCAAAATCAACGGCATACGGTTTCATGTTTATTTTGCTAACGGTTGGTATTGTTGCCAAAAGGAATGATTTGCGATGCGTTTCCTAATCCCAAAACTGAGGACTTTATCATAATTTTTGAATTGTTTTTCGGCAGTTTTCGGTATGAATGAACACAGRCAAACTCTAAAACAACTCARAATCTTTTAAATTGAATTTTTACCACTGAAAATGAAACCCGTTTTTCGAGGTTTGTAAAATGGCAATTATTTATAAGCCGTAAATTCTCAAAAGTACTTACCCTCGTATTGACTTTGGTTACYCTCAATATAWAGAAACGCCAGTGAAGAATGAAAAATCACTTTTGACTACRAAAGAAGMTCTASGAAATGGCGTGGTATCGCATTGTTACTCAGGGTGTTATATTAGCGTGTGTTGAATTGAACACCCAAGAACTTACGTACCTGCTTCGAAATACTGAACGATGTGACGTCTTTAAAAGTGATTGACATCGGAAGTGAATCATAAATATCCTATGCTGACCAACCACAAGAAGRTAAAAGCGTTTTTATAAGAACTTTTTCAGTATTGGTAAGATGACGGTCTTGTGCCACTTGAAGGTACTAAAGTATCTTCAAAAAGTTTTCTTTAATATGTTTATGACGATGTAAAATCGCGGTTAGCCACTGATGAATTACTAAATAAACAGAGAATCGATTGATTTTATAATGGCGCTATTGACACGCATTACCCAAAAGGAGTGTTTATCAAACAGGCACAGTAAGCAATCSCCATTGGATAGTACTTTCTAAGAAACCTTGGGGGCATTAAAGAACTCGATCAAGCCCTGAGGGTCAGCGGAAGACCCAGAAAGTCCGAACAATTTTAACATTCGCTTTATTATAGATATTTTTTTCTTGAAACTACTGTCGTCTATTTCAGTTTATTTATCAAATGACCTTGCTTATTGTGGTAAAATGTTTTCAAAATAGCAGTATAACAATATAGTTTTATTAATTTCAACACCTAAATATAAATATTAGGAACTCTTTTAATAAAGCAAGACAAATATTGCCCTTTTCGAGTGGACTTGCATTAAGATCTTCAACTATCTCTTGCTAAAATCTTGGATTATAGATTTTTCATAAGTCTCACTTAACGATACTGAAACAGGGCTGTAACTACGAGACAAGCGAGGCACTTGCCTTATAGTAAGATTTCACAGATAATCACCAAATAATACCTCTATTTAAGGGCCATTTGTACAGTTTGATTGAACGTCTTGCAGGTTTTGAAGTGCCTTTAGTAAAGATTTTGACCTGGTCAAGCTAATGACAAAAAAAATACTCGTATTTGTCCAGTGAAGGAAAATATATYCCAACACCAATATCTATTCATTTCAAAGCTAAAATATTGAATTGAAATATCGAGACCTCAAACATTGATAATTTATGAGTCATTTCACGAGGTGACAGATATTCGAGTTCGGTATGGTGGCATAATCTCTTAGCTCATTCTAAGAAATAGTCAAAGATAATGGTGAATAACTATCAACACTGAGTTCGAAAAATAGTTTGACGTTGCATCCKGAATTTTTAAAAATTCCTATACATTTCTTTGTAAATTCTATTGAATTTCGTGTTATCATAAACGGCAAGTTTTATCTGTTTATCTAGCGATGAAGGGACTTGTACCCAGTCTCCCACGGTATGAAATCGGGCAATGCGGGGTGAAGAGCGTGTACCAAATGTCATTGATCTGCGCATGATTATGAAATGCAAACGTCCGCCTAACTTACGCGGACTAACTAACCCTGGAGCATGTTTTAACGGCAATTAGGATGCTTTATACCTGATAAAACACTCTCTCTCGTGTTTTAAACTATATATACTAAAAGCCTTTGCTAATTATTATAAGTGCTAATATGTATTCTGGTACATATTAATCTGATGGCCGACAAGGCCACAACGATAGCTTAAAACCGACT